TCATTACGTAAAATATAAATTAAAGAGAACTCGAAACTCGTGAGTCCATCAGCGCTACCAGCACCAGAAAGAGTTCCTCTTCACTCCGCAATGAAATGCAAATGGAAGCTACCCCAGATAAAAGTGTGTCAGCCTTTTATCAGCAATGACGCTTTTTTTATAGAAAGAGGAAGACAGAGGCGTCCTCAGCCATGAGTAAGAGGAAGACAGAGGCGTCCTCAGCCAAGTGGAACAGGACACACCCATCGTCGACACCTCAGATGGCCACCATCCGTGATAGGGCAACACCCGCGGCTCATCCTCACATGACTCCCACCTTAAAATAGACGTTCTTGCAGAGAAGAGCGTCTCAGGTGGCAGAAGGTAAAGAAAATTAGTTTTGCGTAGATATCATAAATGAGACATTGACTAGAGGAGGAGGAGATGAGGCTTAAAACCTTGAATAACAGTTTCATTATAAACCAGTAGAGGCTGGATGTCGAGGTCCTGATGAATATATAAGTACCTAATAGGTATACATTCGTGGGGTAGGTGGGGGGAACACGGGACTGAGAGGGCAAGTGTGGCCTCTGAACCTGAGCTACGGAGGTGTGTGTGTGTGTGTGTGTGTGTGTGAAACACTCGTGAGAACATCAACAACAGTTCCAAGCTTAGTGAGACCAGTGATCCAGTACCATACATACTCCACACAATCATAAAAAAATATGAAATATTAACAACAGTTCTGTTGAAATAATCAAATTTCAGAAAATATCCCTACTACTGTTATAATTATCATTATTATAATAACTATATACATGCTAAAAATACTTTCAATAATAACAATAATAATAACAAAAGATAATGATAATATAATAACAATAGCAATATAATAATAATAATACAGTAATAATAATAATTATAATAATAATAATAATAATAATAATAATAATAATAATAATAATAATAATAATAATAATAATAATTAACGGTTTATTGAAAAAAGTTCGACAGCCCGAAGGCTGAAAATATACAGTACATTGGACATAAATGACTTATTAGTTATTACATACAAAGGAAAAGGAATGTACAGTGAACATACAGATAATGTTTACAGTGGAGGTTACATAGGTCACGTGTGATGAGGTGTTGAACGGCAAACACGTAGTGTAGTAACCCCTCACAGATGGTGTTATGAGGGACCTGACGTGGTGCAGTAACTACCTCACAGATGGTGTTATGAGGGACCTGACGTGGTGTAGTAGCTCCCTCACAGGTGGTGTTATGAGGGACCTGACGTGGTGCAGTAACTACCTCACAGATGGTGTTATGAGGGACCTGACGTGGTGTAGTAGCTCCCTCACATATGGTGTTATGAGGGACCTGACATGAGGCTGTAGCAACTTATTCACTAAGTGGTGGTCATAGCGTCATGGGGACACCACGTGGCCTAGTGTCACAGTACCTAACTCACTCAAGTGGTGTACAGTCAAGTGCCGTCCCAAGCCTCCCTATCGTGGACGGATTAACACATCGCTGTTTGTTGGTGGGTTTCATGGGCAGTTCTGGGTACCTGGGACCTCACTGTGTGAAGGCTAACTTGGGTACGACTCTCAGCTGTTACTGTCACGTTGTTTTCATTAGCTTAAGCACTGTTCATCACTGGTTCCATTCCTTTCCGAAATTAAATTGTAACTTCTGGAGATAACTTGCTGATATTCCGGTGGGGAGGAGGGGTTCAGTGGAAGGAGTTAGGGTATGTGCCAACATAACGGTTGACCCGGCAGCTACTAGAGCAGCGCCAGATACGTCTCGACCCTTCGGTGGTCAAGGATGAAATGGACACCCAGAGGGCACAGAATACAAGTGGACATCCACTAAACACACAAGATACAAGTGGACACCCACGGGACACAGAATACAAGTGGACCCCAGGAGACATACAGGATACAAGTGGACAATATATCAGGTAACACAGTATATAATTGGACACCCAAGATACACAGTACACGAATGGACGGACACCGGGAAACACACAGTACACGAGGAAACACTGAAGGCCCACACAGCATACTCCTACAGAACAACTCATGTTCCTCCTCTCAGGTCCAGCCACATCACCTCAATCGAGATTGTTAAGCGGTGGTTTCTTCAAGCTTCTCTGAACGGTGAAAGAAAATGTCTTACATTCCAAGTTCTTTTACATTGTGTTAACCTCAAATCAGGCCTATGTGATTGAGCATCGGTCTCAGGTCTTGGATGGTGGATCATCTTCTAGTTTGAATAGCCTAAATGAACATCCAGGTCAAAGCCGTCAGATTTATTGATGACAGCTTGCTCGCTAGCAGCCTTCAAAGCCTGGTCCCTCCAGTATGCTGGTTGTCTCTTTCCTTCCACTCTCCTTCTGCTGTCGTTACTTCCATGGTTACTGTTATGTGACTGGCGTTATTCCTTGATTACTGTGACTAGACGTTATGACTCCCGTTATTCCTTGATTACTGTTGAGACTAGCGTTATTCCTTGGGTTCTGTTAGAAGTGACTTGCGTTATTCTTTGGTTACTGTTATGAGAGAAAAGGCTAGCGTTATTCCTTGGTTACTGCTATGTGACTACCGTTATTCCTTGATAACTGTTGAGACTAGCGTTATTCCTTGGTTACTGTTATATGACTACCGTTATTCCTTGATAACTGTTATATGACTACCGTTATTCCTCGGTTACTGCTATGTGACTACCGTTATTCCTCCCCGAGTGGTCATCCCCGGGCAGTGTTGCTTGGCCTCTGCACGTCACACCTAACCTAACCCAACCTAACTAAAGACGTACATCATCATCATTCCTGTCCTCCAAACTCCCTTCCTTCCAGCCTACAGATCTCACATTAACACACACACACTTTACCCCGACGTATGCACAGTATGTCTGCGAGGCTAGGTTACGAAAACTTTATTCCTGGAAATGTCTTGTTCTTCCTAACTGTGACTTTTCCTGTTACACATTTCCTTCTTCTGTTACAGAATTCCTGTTTCTGTCTCTTCTGTTACATACTTCCTGTTTCTGTCTCTTCTGTTACACAATTCCTTCTTCTGTCTCTTGTTACATAATTCCTTCTGTCTCTTGTCACATAATTCCTTCTTCTGTCTTTTCTGTTACATAATTCCGTATTGTCTCTTCTATTACTTAAGATTTTCTGTCTCTTGTTACATAAGTCCTTCTGTCTCTTGTTACATAAGTCCTTCTGTCTCTTGTTACATAATTCCTCCTGTCTCTTGTCACATAATTCCTTCCTCTGTCTCTTGTTACCTATTTCCTTATTCTCTCTCTTCTGTAATATAATTCCTTCGTCTGTCTATTATGTCTTTCATTCTTCCGTCTCTTCTGTGACATAATTCCTTCTGTCTCTTTTATTACCTTTTTTGTTTCTTCTGTCCTAACATCCATTCTTATCTATCTTCTGTTATATAGTTTTTCTTCAATCTCTTCTGTCTTTCATCTTCACTCAAGTGAGACACGATGTGGCAATGGGCCATCTTTTTCCCTTTAGTCTTCCATAAAATATTAAGAAAAAAAACTCACCCAGAGTGGCACAGTATACGATTGGACACCCAGGACACACACGGGATACGAGTGGACGTTAAAAACACACGTACATGAAACGTGTGGACATCCAGAGCACGTACAGGATATGTATAGATATTCAGGGCACAATTAGAATACGCGAGGATGTCAAGGACCCACAAAAGATAAGAGTGGTTACACAAGACACACACACAGGGTGCGAGTGAACAACTACTACGTACACAATGTACGAGTGGACATCAAAGAGAACACACGATATACGACTGGACACCCAGAGGAATATAGACGAAGTGATACAGAGGAAAACACAGTGTTTCGATGGGACATCAGGTGGCAATCTGGGGGACACTGTATGTGGAAGTTATCCCATGGGTAATCGAGGGACAGTGTGTGTAAGATAGAACAGCCAGGAGTATACCATTGTATGAGAGGACACCCAGGGGCAGTGCAGTGATCACAGGACACACAAGTGAAGCACTGTATGTGAGAGGACATCCAGGTGATACAGTGCACGAGAGGACACCCATGTGATACAGTGCACGAGGGAACACCCAGTTGACACAGTGCAAGAGAGGACACTAGGTGACACACAGTGCACGAGGACACCCAGATGACACCCAGGAGACACAGTGCACGAGAGGACACCCAGGTGACACAAAGTGGACAATAGGACACCCAGGTGACAAATTCTATAAAAGGACGCAGAAAGTCCCAAACACACACACACACCAAATATTGTTGAGAGGGACACACAAGCCGGAGGTATTGGTCGCGGGCTCACACACGGATCAAACAGGGAGGGAATAATATAAATGTGGACACGTATGGCCCCAAATATCACAGAGGGAGACACACAGTAACCGGCTAAGGAATCATTCTATACAAGGGCAGCAGAAAACGACGAGGAGGACGGCTCGAGCTCCCCCACTGTAGATGAGTAGAGAAGTGGGTCACGGAGGGAGGGGGCCAGGGGGGGCCGGAGGGGAGGGGGAAGCATCGTCGAGGGAGGCCCCCCAAAAAGGCAGCCACACTCCTCCCTAACGGATACGTCTCAATATCGATAAGTGAGTTGCGTGCCCCAGACGTTTTGGTTAAGCTAACGCCAACCTAGTAAGGTGTAATATAAACTACTGTATTTGACAAAATCCTTAACGCCAGTAACATGGACACTGCACCAACGATGACCAAATCAATAGTACAATAATATGATAAATTATAACACCATTGATATTACTGAATTTCACTACCAATTAACACATATTTACCCCAAAAAATTTGACAGCAGTAACAAAAATAAATCACATCACTGATCAATTACTAGGAAGTAAAGTCGTCTAAATTTGTGTGTAAAAATGAGCGAGACAGATGAGAGTGGCGGTGAGGTTATCACTATAACTACGGAACGAGTTAAAGTGTATACTACACAGTAATAGAGTATTTACCGGACGGGCTGGGGCGGTGGGCGTGGTGGTGTGGGCGTGAAGCAGGTGGTGTGAGATGATAGTAGTGGCGGCGGCGGCGGCAGCAGCAGCAACAGCAACAGCAGCAGCAGTGGCGGTGTGGGCGGGCGGGCGGGCTAGGTGTGGGGGCGGGGTGGGCGGTGGGTGTGTGGCGGCCAGGTCCACACACAAGACACACACACACACACACACTACACTGGGTGGGCGGGCGGCAGCACTAGGGCGCGGCCATCACTACCCACAGCTGCTGCTAACACAGATACGGCGGATCGGAGGGGCGGGCGGGCAAGCGGGCGGGCGGGCGCGCGGTGTGGGCGGCCAGGACACTAAGGGAACACCTCGTGGGCCCTACACGGGGGGTCGAGGCAGGCCACACTCCACACAGGTCACACAGGGTCAGAGGTCACACAGAGCGCGGGGTGGTGCGGGCACGGCTCACAGCTCAAGACCTGCACGGCTGGGCCACACGGCGCCGTCTGCCACCACTGCGATCAATAGCCCACCAGGCTCCCCACCACGATCAATACTCCCTCGGCCGGCCCGCATGCCCCGTGCACCCGCGCCGCCCCGAGCATGTGCACTCATGCCTTCTCCGAGCATGGGCACTGATGCCTCCCTCCCTCGAACATGTGTAATGAGCATGTGCACTCATGCCATCCCGAGCATGTGCACTCATGTCTGCCTCCCATGAGCATGTATAATGAACATGTGCACTCGTACCTCCCTCTCCTGAGCATATGCACTCAGACTACCTCTGAGCATGTGCACTCAGCCACCCTGTATATGAGCGCTCATACTACCCTGAGCATGTGCACTCATATCTACCTAAGCAAAGCACTCAAGTCTCCCAAATCGCGTGCACTCATCTCCCAATGCATGTGCACTCATCTCCCTAATCATGCGCAATTGTCTCCCTAAACATGTGCGTTCATAACAACCTACTCATATGAAGTCATGCCTCCTGAGCATGTGCACTCATGGCTTCCCGATCATGTGCACTCATGGCTCCCCAGAGCTTGTGCACTTATGGCTTCCCGATCATGTGCACTCATGGCTCCCCAAAGTATGTGCACTCATGGCTCCCCAGAGTATGTACACTGCTGACTCCCCGAGCATGTGCACTCATGGCTCCCCAGAGCATGTACTCATGCTTCCCTCCCATGAGCATTCTTACTGACCAAACACAACCACGCTCCCTTCTGAGTGAGTGTACTGAGAATGTACACTCATGAGCCTGGCCACTTGTACTTCCTTCTTCCAAGCATTTTACACTGAGCATGAGCACTGTTTCCTTCTAAACATGAACACTGAGCATGAGCAGTTTCCTTCTAAACATGTACACTGAGCATGAGCACTGTTTCCTTCTAAACATGTACACTGAGCATGAGCACTGTTTCCTTCTAAACATGTACACTGAGCATGAGCACTGTTTCCTTCTAAACATGTACACTGAGCATGAGCACTGTTTCCTTCTAAACATGTACACTGAGCATGAGCACTGTTTCCTTCTAAACACGTACACTGAGCATGAGCACTGTTTCCTTCTAAACATGTACACTGAGCATGAGCACTGTTTCCTTCTAAACATGTGCACTGAGCATGAGCACTTTTTCCTTCTAAACATGTACACTGAGCATGAGCACTGTTTCCTTCTAAACATGTACACTGAGCATGAGCACTGTTTCCTTCTAAACATGTACACTGAGCATGAGCAGTTTCCTTCTAAACATGTACACTGAGCATGAGCACTTTTTCCTTCTAAACATGTACACTGAGCATGAGCACTGTTTCCTTCTAAACACGTACACTGAGCATAAGCACTGTTTCCTTCTAAACATGTACACTGAGCATGAGCACTGTTTCCTTCTAAACATGTACACTGAGCATGAGCACTGTTTCCTTCTAAACATGTACACTGAGCATGAGCACTGTTTCCTTCTAAACATGTGCACTGAGCTTGGGTATGATGTTTTCCGAGTGGGATACTCGACAGGGGCACTGATACCTCTCTTGAGCATGTGTACTGAACACTATTGCCTTCCTCCCTCGAGCATGTGTACTGAACGTCTGTAATCAACCTTTACATGACCATGTGCACTCACGCCATCCCTTAGAATCTGCACTTATGGATCCCACCTCCAGCACTTGTACTCAAAACACCTCTAAGCATGTGCGCCACTACTACAAGGTACCGGAAAAGGGCTGAGAACTAATGCCCTGCCCTAATGCAAACTCTCGCAGGTAGATAATCCCTTTTCCAAGCATGTGCACTGCCCATACAAACCCCTCTACTCACGTGCACTAAAATTACTATTCAAATTAAATGCACTGTAGCTCATAGGGTGCACTGAAAATATCCACCAACTTCCCACTAGCAAATTCTCATTGACCTCTTTCCCAGGTATTGTATTAAACAGGTAATGACTGGGTCAACACCTACCGAGCACTGTGTCAGGTGACGGACAACAGCTGTCACTCTTCACAACTCACCTGAAAGAGAGAAAACAAATTTGATAAATAAAACAAAACCTGATTTTATGAAAATCTGTGATACAAACCCTGGTTTATAAAATCTAAAAAACGAACCTTGGTTTATAATTCTATACAGTACAGTATAATATAAACCCAGGATGATGAAAAATCTGAAAAGAAACACTGGTTTCTGAAATTTAATATTACAACCATATGTTTACATAAACTAATGATGTTATCCCTGAGTTACAAACACTGATAATATGGCCGTTGGTTTAAACAAATATGAACCTTAAATAAAACAAAACTATACAAACTCTATATAAAAAAAAAAACATGAACCCTGGATTTATAAATCAATGTTATAAATCCTGGCGTTTAAATAATAGCCGCTGGTTCATATATATAAAACCCCTAGTAAATATAAACCAATGCAACTTTGGTTCATCTAAACTAATATTATAGCCCCTGGTTGACACAAGATATAGCTTGACTGAGTTTTTAAGTTAATTTAATGATATGATTTAGAGCATAACTTAACATGACCCGAGGAGAAAAGTTAACAATATTACCCGGGGAGCAAAGTTAACAATATGACCCGAGGAGCAAAGTTAACAATATGACCCGAGGAGCAAAGTTAACAATATGACCCGAGGAGCAAAGTTAACAATATGACCCGAAAAAGTTAACAATATGACCCGAGGGCAAAGTTAATAATATGACCCGAGGAGCAAAATTAACAATATGACCCGAGGGCAAAGTTAACAATATGACCCGACCAGTTGTTAACAATATGACCTTAACAATATGACCCGAGAGCAAAGTTAACAATATGACCCGAGGACCAAAGTTAACAATATGACCGGAGGAGCAAGTTAACAATATGACCCGAGGAGCAAAAGTTAACAATATGACCCGGAGCAAAGTTAACAATATGACCCGAGAACAAGTTAACAATAGACCCGAGGAGCAAAGTTAACAATATGACCCGAAGCAAAGTTAACAATATGACCCGAGGAGCAAAGTTAACAAATGACCCGAGAGTTAACAATATGACCCGAGGAGCAAAAGTTAACAATATGACCCGAGGGCAAAGTTAACAATATGACCCGAGGAGCAGTGTTAACAATATGACCCGGAGTAGTGTTAACAATATGACCCGAGGAGCAAAGTTAACAATATGACCCGAGAGCAAAGTTAACAATATGACCCGAGGAGTTAACAATGACCCGAGGAGCAAAGTTAACAATATGACCGAGGAGCACAGTTAACCCCGAGGAGCAGTGTTAACAATATGACCCGAAGCAAAGTTAACAATATGACCCGAGGAGCAGTAGTTAACAATATGACCCGAGGAGCAGTGTTAACAATATGACCCCGCAAAGGTAGTGTAACAATATGACCGACCGAGGAGCAAATGTGTTAACAATATGACCCGGAGCAAAGTTAACAATATGACCCGAGGAGCAAAGTTAACAATATGACCCGAGGAGGGCAAAGTTAACAATATGACCCGAGGGCAAAGTTAATGATGAAGACGAGTTAATATGACCCGAGGAGCAAAGTTAACAATATGACCCGAGGAGCAAAGTTAACAATATGACCGAACAAAGTTAACAATATGACCCGAGGAGCAAAGTTAACAATATGACCCGAACAAAGTTAAATATGACAAAAAAGTTAACAATATGACCCGAGGAGCAAAGTTAACAATATGACCCGAGAGCAAAGTTAACAATATGACCTTAACAATATGAACCCGAGGAGCAAAGTTAACAATATGACCCGAGGAGCAGTGTTAACAATATGACCCGAGGAGCAGTGTTAACAATATGACCCGAGGAGCAAAGTTAACAATATGACCCGAGGCGCAAAGTTAACAATAAGACCCGAGGAGCAGTGTTAACAATATAACCCGAGGAGTAGTGTTAACAATATGACCCGAGGAGTAGTGTAAACAATATGACCCGAGGAGCAGTGTTAACAATATGACCCGAGGAGAAAAGTTATCAATATGACCCGAGGAGCAGTGTTAACAATATGACCCGAGGAGCAAAGTTAACAATATGTTCCGAGGAGCAATGTTAACAATATGACTTGGTTTGCCATAGTTAATAACATAACCTAATTTACTTAAATTAATAATATGACTTGATTAACTGACTTGAAAACATTAACAATATGACCCGACTTGAAAACTTTAACAATATGACCTGACTTGAAAACATTAACAATATGACCCGACTTGAAAACTTTAACAATATGACCTGACTTGAAAACATAAATATATCCTAAATCTAAAACCTTAAAATATGTCCTGATTTGCCCGAGTTAACAATATAACCTGAGTTGCAGTGATCAACAATGACCTGATTTACAAATTCAACAATATGACTTAATTTGCAAATGTTAACAATATGACTTCATTTGAAAATGTTAAAAAGACTTAATTTGCAAATGTTAACAATATGACATAATTTGCAAATGTTAACATGACTTCATCTGCACAAGACAATTATGTGGCCTGACTCAAAACCTTGGCCCACTTATAATCACCATTTAATCTCTCTCATCCAAGCTGTTACCCTTTATGTGGAAATATAAAAAAATGCCTAAACTGAAATTTTATCTATAGTTTCAGAAATAGATTAAAAGTGAAATCCAACGTACATGCATTGTTAACGTGCACGTACAGGGATTGTTTACGTGCACGTACAGGGACTGTTAATTTCAATACGCAGTTAAGTAATCGTTAATTGTCTAGTTGCTGGTTGTTAACCATGTCAGTACACAGAGTCTGGCAGGAATTGCTGTTTTAGATCTTATTTGTCTTAATACGGCACACACATAATACCCATTAGAACATACATATTCATACTGCATATGCATCCAAATTTACTCACAAACATACATACATACATACATAAATGTTCACAACCCTAACATTATTAGACACACAAAGTGGCATACGATATACATAGAATACATTCATGTATACACATGTTAACAGACATTAGTCACACACACACACACACACACACACACACACCAATTACTGTACTGTCATACATGCCTTAGGAGAGAAGGGTAAACTGTACATACAACCTTCATATGCTTAGTAC